GAGATTTCTTGTTGGTGGAGTTCATTGCACATTGGTATACCTGAATAGCTTATTTAGTTTGTTTTTTCATTATGTTTGTTATTGCTACTAGTTCTTCTGATGTGATTTGTTGTTATCATATGATTCATTACCTTTTACTCTCTCCCCTCCAAATAGAATGTTTGCTTGTTAAGGTCAGTAGAGGATGGACTCAATGCTCTTCTATTTATAGAAGTAAGTTTTTGCATGTGTTTATTGGGATTTCTTGGTTTATATGATACTTTTTGGTTGAGGTCAATTGTTTTTTTTACTATTCCGTACAAAATTGTAGTGTGACTCTTCAATCAATTTAAGTTATTACTATAAACTAAGTTACGGTGAAACGATGAAAATATTTTATCAATAATTTTATTAATATATATTTAATGTATTTTCTTAATTAGTTATTAATAGTTAATATAATTTTTATAAAAAGGAAATAAAAATATCTTAATATAATTTATTATTTAAATTGTACATTTTAACTAATTATTTATTTACTTTTGCAAAAATAATAAATTAAAGAAAATATAAAAGCAAAATTAGATGAAATTCGTTGAGTGCATCGAAATCCACGTAGCGGAATCAATCTAAAGAACTCTTCTTCTAAAAATTAGCAAATCGCTCAATGCTTTTTGATTCGTTCAACACTTTTAAATCCATTGAGCACTTTTGATCCGCTGAGCAGATTTATCAAATTTTATTTTTGCATAATTTTACTTTGAGTTACATTATATAATTATGGGTCGCAAATGGGTCTTAATCATTCTCGTATGCCTTTGTTATTGTATAAGTAAGCCTTTGAAGGCGAGAAAAACATATGTTAAGTTGGAGTCATAACTTAGTTCTTAAGCTATTTAGTTTTCAAATTCTCTAATTTTCATAACTAGTAATGTCTAGCTTACAAGTCTCGTCCATGGAGCTTCTTATACGAATGATGTTATGAAGTTTATCAATTCAAGTTGTTTTTTATTATATTTGTTTCATCTTCTCTTTAATCCTTCGTTTTACTTTCTGTTTTCATCTTCTACATCTTTTTCCACTCATTTCTTTACTATTTTCATGTTGTTCTTTATGTTCCACTTGATCATGATTTAATTCGCTTTTGTTGTTGATTCACCAATTAAAACTTGTTTTCTATGGTTTATATTTGATTTTTAATAATTCTAACTTATTATAATCCATTACAGTATATGTAATTAAGGTTATTTGATTGAATGTCTCATTTACATCACAATTCAATTTCTAGGTTTAAGTGATTTTTTTATTTAGGAATTGAGTTATGAATATGAATTTTAAATGGATTGTAATTGATTGGAACTGTTGTGGATTTGTTTTTGTGATTATAACTTTTATAGATTATATTTAAATGCTTTCTTTAATTGGTTTCATAGTTTAGGTTTATTGTTTTCATTTACATGCTTTCATTTATTGTTTTTAACATATTAGATTACTGCTTTTAATTTGTTTTTCTACATTAAAAATCATAAAATCCCGTATTTCCTAGTTTTTGACGTTGAAAATCAAAAAACACAATTAAGCAATTCTCCTTGAGAATACGACCTAGGTCAACTCTAGTACTGTATTATTTTTATTGCAAATTCTTTGATGAGATCTAGGCGACAAGATCAACCTCATCATGAAGTTCTGCTTGTTTCCATTTATAAATGTATTGAATTTGATTTGAATATAGTTTTATCTGGCATGTAAAGTGGTATCGTCTTATTGATGAAATTAGTTAAGTTGTATTGTATTTTTCACCTTGTTTAGACAATGTAATCTAACATAATACATAATGGATATGCATAGATCATGCCAATGATCGTGAAAAAGGACTAAAATGAATGAATTTATACAAAATAAGAAACCTAAATAAAGACTATGTGATGTCAAGGACTAAACTAATAGACATTTATAATCTTAGGGACTAGAATGAGTGATTTACTAATATTTAGTGTTTGTGCTTCATTGATTTTTTTTTATTACTCATGTTTATGTTGTTTCTTCTCTGGATTTTTTTTCAGATACGAGGATGCAAACTTCACAACAAACACAAGGTATTTTGAAGGTTCTAACTTCTGAGAGTTGATACACGTGTTTATGCATCACTTTTAGCATTTGGTGGAAATATGACTTTGTGGATGACTGGGGTTTATTATTGAGTATAAAACAACACATGCACTCAATTACTTTTAGGAATACTAATCTTTAGTTTAGAACTAGTATTTTGTTTTTAATATTTATCTTTTATTATTTCTTTTATTGTTGTATATTTTGTGCTCCACCACCTTTACAGGCAAGAACGTTCTCACGTGGGCTATGCGTTGTGATATTACCACATATAGTATTGATCATATATGACTTTTGGTGCGTGCTCATATATCTCTTTCGGTGTCTGCTCATATATCACTTTCATCATCCATTGTGGTTGTTAATCCGTAATCTTTAATTTAAACCTATGTATGTGTTTAGTGAAAGTCAATATTCAACTAGTTATCTAGTTGTATTAATACAACAATACACTAGTACAAAATGAAGTTTTTACGTCTATTATTTTGGTTTTATACGTTAGACACAAGTTTGAGGTTAATACGAAAAATGTAGATTTACGTTGGACATAATCATCAACGTCAATTTACGTCAAACCAGCGCATAACTAATATAAATTTATATAGATTATGCATTGGTTCAATATAAATTTTATCTTTTCTTTTAATGTTCGGTTGTTTTTTCTTACAGTCAGTCTAGATTCTAGATTTTTAATAGGCAATAATTCAACAATACAATATAATATAAACTATAAAAACTAAATTAGTATAAAAATTAAACTATAAAAAGTAAACATTACAAAGTTAAACTAATACGAAGTCTAAACTAATACAAAAATTAAGCTACCTAAATGTTAAATTACATAATACAATACAAATAATAACCTACAAACTAATTACTAGAAATGTTAAACGAAAAATCTTGTTCATTGTTCTCTAATTTGTGTAATATCATCTTCCGATAGTGGAGATGAATGGCTCTTGAAATATCTGAAACATTAATTTTACTCCTGTTAACATGCAATACATATAAATGTAAATCAACTTAACAAATGTTGAAAGCAATTATCTCTGTCCAATAATCGGTTATCCTCGCACAAACTATGACTCTCATCTAATACATGATACAAGTAGTCACATTCAAAAGAGTCCAAGTGGCAGATCTTGACCATTGATCTTGAGGGGGCCAAATAATATATTATTAATAAATAATAAATAAATATAAAAGAAAGAAAGAAGATGAAAGGGTGAAAGGATAAAATTGTAGATATATACTTAAATATATTAAATAATCATTAAATTTGAGGGGGACAAAATTATAAATTATATGAGAATTACAAAATTGAGGAGGGGCTAAGAGGATAAAATTGTAAATAAACAAGTAAATATATTAAATGTTCATTAAGTTTGGGGGGACCAAAATCATAAATTACATGGAAGTTACAAAACTTTGGGGGACTACGACCCCCCTCGGCTCCTAAGAAGATCCGTCACTGAAAGAGTCTATTTGCTTATTACACTGAATTGAGAAACAAAACAAAATGTTATTTTCAAAATTTAAATACAAGAGTATAGATATTATAAGAATATAACATATTTCACTAGTTTTGTCTATTACATGTGCTTAGGAGCATATTTACAAAAATGGTTGGGACATCAAAGTCAAATCCGACGTTGGAGTCAAAACTTATGTTTTTTCAAACATTCTTTATTTTCTTTTCATTATGATAAACCTACTCTATGTATTGTAATATCTTCTCTTCACATCATACTATATCATTTTATTTCTTACTTACTCATTACTATTATATAATTAATATACAAACAACTAAACCGTGAAAACATAAAAATATAGTGTATAAATCGTAAATCCACTCAAACGCATAAATGGGTAATCACAAACTACAACAATTTAATTTCAATAACAATCCAGTGGAGGCATTCATGCAATAACGTGATTCAAATCTCTAAAAACAATCACGGATTCAATCAACATGAAAGAAAAGACATAGAACACTAACTTCAAATATACAAAAAATATTTTAAAACTCGAATTTAATCGAAGAGAAACATCAACTACCACAAATGGGATATAATGTAGGTGTTTTCCCGTCACTCATTATGGTCAAAATGTACTTTTAGAGGAGCTAGTTTAGTCGTTGCCACCATCATCACTCAAAAGCCCTCGTACGTGTGAGGAACAAGAAGCTCATGAGCGATTAAAACGCGACTTTTATGTTGGACCTTGTAGGGGCCGATGTAAAAGTTATTTTTACGTCAATTAGAGATACACCTAATGTAAAAAATAGCTTTTACGTCGAACTCTAAGAAGTTCGACGTAAAAGTATCATCCCTTACTTATAAAAATGTCACTGTATTTTTTTTAAGTCAATTATTTTTGGGTCTAACGAGAATTAGGTGACATAAAAAGCCCAATTTACACTAGTGATAGGTGCTTCTGTATCTTTAAAAAAGTTTTTTGTATTTTGTATGATGATATGAAGAAAGTTCTATATTCTTTCATTTTCAAAAGATGGTTTATATTGGATACTTTAATATATTATGATTTGAGAATAATAATTATTTTTTGTGTTATTAAAAATGAAAAATATAAGTTCTTTTAAAATAAATAGATTAGTCTTAAGTTATTGGTATATTATATATTTAAATTATCAATTTTACTATAATGATAAAATTATAATAATTATTATTATAATTTTTATGCTTTTTTCTGATAAACTAGTTACCAACATAACTATGAGTAAAGTCTAACTTTTCTTTTTTTAGCAATTTTTTTACTTCATTGTCAAACTCAAACTAATCGTGTATAAAGTGTTATTAAAGGTTTTTAGTTGATTAAGATAAGTTTTGTTTAAGATTATTGTGAGAATTGAATGTGTTGAGCTGAAAGAGCATTGGAAAAAGAAGAGCAACAGTGGAATCCATTAATGCATAGAAAGAGAGAATGATAGGGGCGGTGCTCCACTTTGCGGCAACATAATTGGGCAGGCATAGTGGCGGTGAGTGTGGTTGTAGCACCAAGTTGGCTTCCCGTCCAATCATTTTATTAGTTTTATAAACACAGCCAACAATGATTGCTGCAGAATGAATCGATTTGTACCAGACATAAGCAACATACCACCTTATTTTATTGTTTTCTCATTGTACACCACGATGCTCATAATTGAGTGTTCCTTGCTCCTACTAATATTTATTATTTTATATTTTCCTCTTCAAATATATAATTCATTATTCAATAAAAATTATACAGTGATATATTCCGTTGATTTTAAATTATATGAAGTTTTACGTATAAAAAATTATTTTTAAAATTTTACGACGGTATAAAAATTTATTTTTAAATATATAATAGGGTCAAAATCAACTATTCAACCCAATCAGACTTATACTATGGATTAAAAATATTTTAAAATATGATATAATTATTAATCTAATCTAATCTGTATTAAATCAACATATTAACATATTTTTATTAAAAATTATTAACGTTTTCATACAAAAATATTTAATTAAAAATATTTAAATAAAAAAATTAATTTACATTATATTATAAAATTAATTTTTATTTAAAATATAATTATTTAATATATAAGTTATAAAAAATCAATTCATTTAATGTTAAAATAAAAAATTTATTTTTCCTTTTTATCATTCAATTTTTAGTAATTTATTAATTTAAAATTAATATTTATTCTTAATAATTAGATATTAAAATAAATAATTATAAAAAATATTAGTTTAATATATATTCTTAAAATGAATCTCTTTTTAAATTAATTTAATATATATATATATATATATATATTAATAAAATAATATTATTTTTATTTTAAAATAATTATTATTTTATTACATAGTCTATAATCTAGTTTAGTTTAAGATAATGTACGTCATGAAATTAACATAAATTTGATTCAATTTAATATAACTTGATCTATTTTTAATATTTTTTAGATTTATCTATCTGATAAATCTATTTTGAGATCGTGTCAACAAGTCTAAGATTACATTAATTATTATTTTATTAATTATATTTTTATTTTTTAATTATATTATCATAAAGAGAAAAAATAATAAATTATTTTAAAATATTTCAATTAAAAATATATTATTAAAATAAGAATATTAATAAAATAGTAATACATTTTTTAAAAATAATCTTAATTTATATAATTGAATATTAAAAAATAGTATATTTAAAATAAGGATAGCTGTATATATCGGAAGAGATGGAGAAAATTGGACCTATACTTACTTTAATTACGGACCATTTTACTATAGCACTGAAACTTCTACTGCAACTCTGAATCATCATTTTAGCTTTTATTTTATTTTGTGTTTTTAAACAAGTATAATAATAATAATATTTTTAATGTTATTTAAATTTTAAATAATTATATTATATATTTCTTAATATGATATATTTATTTAATAATGAATTTTTTTTAATATTATTTAAAGTTTTATATAATAATATTTTATAATTATTAATACAATATATATATAATTACCAAATATTAATAATAATTTTAATATTATTTAATTTTTTTATTTTCATATTTTATGTTTATTAATATTTATAATATTGTATATAATTATTTTATGTTTTTATTATATGATTTTAGGTTTTAAATTATTATTTTTTACTAGAATAAATTAAATTATTGTAATATATTAAAATAATTAAATAATTATATTATATGAAAATAAATTAAATAAGTATATTAAATTAAGATGGATAGTTTGAAAGACCTAAAAAATAAGTTAAGTTTGACTAAAAAATTTATAATCTAAATAGAACTAAAACAAGTTTTGGCCCGATCGGTTTAGGTTAGACTTAAATGAGCTTAGTCTAGGCTAACTTATAGGTTTATGGACTGGCCTGTTTTATAAAATAATAATTATTTTATCAATAAAATAAAAATAATATTATTTTATTAAAAAATATATGTATAATAAATTAATTTGATAATATATTTTATTATTATATAATTTAGAAAGAATAATAAACTTTAAATATAATCTTCATCTATTTTAGTCATTTCCTTTCTCTATATTGTTGTATGTCACATTTGTTTTTAAGGACAAATCATTTAAGACAACATATTCTTAAATGTACTATATTTCCAAAGTATTATGATATAAAAGATAGATTTGATAATAAAACTAGCTTGTTGAAGTAATGCAAATTTGACTCTAAAATTTACCGAGATGTACTTATTAGATATATTATTAAGCATGAACCTCAATTTAACTATGTTGAGTACGAGATAATTTTGAATGTTGATTTTAAATCAATAACTATAAAATATTTCAATTACATAGATTTATAACGTGTATTTTTAATTAAAAAGAAAAACTACAAATGTGTTATCTAATATTTTTGGTAGGATATGTTTGACAATAATTATAATATGTAAATAAAAACTCATTTTTATGATTTTATACATTTTATTTTATTTTTCCTGAATAGGTTATAAATTAATTTTAAATATAAATGACATATTTTTTAAAAATAAAAATAAAAAAATATTTTTAGTTAGGCAAAATATGGTCGTTGGCCTAATATACGGTTAAATTTGATCAAAATTTTTTATCAATTTTAATATATAGGTCAAGTTGGATCATTAAAAATTTTCTTTTACTTGATTAATTCAGTCTAAATTGGATTGTCCGTAGAAATATGTTACGGGAGTTTTTTTATTATTATTTTTTAACAATACGAGAAAAAAATTCATATTATACACTCTCTTTTTCCTTTTTATCAATCTATAATATTCCACTTCTCTTTATTTTATTTTTTACAAATAAAAGATAGAATAAATATGAAAATGTTATTTTACCTTTTATATTTACTTTATTATATATATATATATATATATATATATATATATATATATATATAAATTTCGACAGTCAAAAAAATAAAAGATGTGTGTTATACCTATTTATAACGTTTCGTAGTGACTTTTAATACTTTATGAAATCATTAATGTATTAAGTAAAGAAAAAAATTAATATTATGAAGATATAAAATTTTCAACATTTTAAAACTTTGTATTATTTAAACCTGACAAATTAATATGCTATAAACCGTTATTTCTTTTTCAATTAAAAAAAACTCAATTATATATAAAATGATTAGTATCATTGGAAAAAGAAATAAAAGTGTTTAAAGAAAAATATTTATTATAATTTATATATTTAAAAAATAGTAAAAAATATATGAGAAAGAGAGAAAATTGGAGAAAAAATTGGATATATTTAAAGAGTAAAATGAAAAAATCAAATAAAATTTAAAATAATATTTTGGAAAAAATTAACTATACAAAAAAGTGGATAGCATACACTTTAGCGCCGGTATTTCTACTAATATTAATGATCAGGAGACTAAAGTTTGTTCAGTACAGTATCAAAGAATAGTGCGAGTAAAAAAGGAAAAAAAAATTCTTATTTATTTAAGAGAAAAGTGACATAAAAATAAAGAAATATTTATTTTGAAAATATTAGATAATTAAATTAAAATTAAAAAATATTTATTCAGTTACAAAATTATTCATATAATTATTAATTAATTTTTTATTAATAAAATAACTTTTAAAAATTTAAATTATATATTTCAATTTTATTAATAAAATAATATTATATTAAAATAAATAAAATATATAAAATTATTCATTTGATTTTTATGATGACCTTATTATATTTTATTAAAATAGTAATTATATATATATATATATATATATATTAAAATTGTAAATATAAGAATGAATAACCATGATAATTTGTAAAAGTAATATTTTTCTTACAATTTTTCCTCTTTCCCACCTTTATATATAAGAGAAAAATAAACATGTTACTACAGTAAAAATGAACATTTTTTCTTTATTATCAAACAATAAAAATTATTATTTTTTCACTTATTTATATGTATTAATCACTTTTTATTCTATATTTTTTCCTATAAATAAAAATACTCTAAAAGTTGGCTTGTGTTAGAAATAACAAAGATATGTCAAATTTAACAAGAAAGAATTTCGGGTGAAAATAAAAAGTAATTATTATCAGATTTAAGACCTGACCCTAAAATCAATACTGTACCAAAAATTAAAATCAATCATCACTTTTGATTGCGTGGAATCTAGCCGTGTTCTAATCCAATTAAATTTGTTTGTTGCTAACTGCGGCAAATGGGAGTCCTAACCTAACCTAATACTCTAGTTTACATTTTTTTTTCCTTTGTTCAAAGCTACCGTCAGATTTGTACATCAACGAATTCAAATTGAGGTTGTTTTCATTTATTTTGTTCGTTTTACATAACTACACTTTTATTTGTTTTAATTTAAATCGAATGCTATTTATCTTATATATAAAAATAGTTTTTTCAGTAGGATATACACTTGCAATAATATTTGTATTTACATATTTATTATTATTTTAATAATTTCCACATTTATCATGACTATTAATGTTTAAGAAAAAAATTAAATAATTGTTATTTTAAGATCAAATCTTGAAAATTCAATTCTTAAGATCTATTTCAAATATAAAAAGAAGTATACCATCTTAGACAATTTTACATAGTTAAAAAATGAATTGTAATAAAACTGCAATTGGTGTTGCAATAGGAACAAACAATCCCCAATGCCTCAACTCAACCTCTCCTATACACTATTATTTTCAACTCATTTTTTCTGGTAGTCATATTCTTGGTTCAGATTATGACAGCCACAAGTTTATGCCTTTTGATTTGTGTGTTGTGTCCCTACACGTTTTGCCCCAACACACGTAGCACCAGCTTCTATCAGGCACCAGCCAAGCATTAGCATGTTGTTGCTGCCAAAGTATATTAGACAGTTGAAAATTTTAAAATATTGCAACAAAATATCAAACTCCTTTTGTCAACTCATCGCCCACACTTCATGGTTGTGGACTTTATTAAATCTTTCCTTCTAGGAACAAGTAAAGAGATGATATTTGTTTCATATGATATGATATGTGTGGTGCAACTTTTTCAAATCTACAAATCATTGTAAAGTTTAGAATTGAGGTTTTCAAATTAAGTCAAAATTGTGTG